CAAATTGTTGTGGACAGGAAGATCGTGTTGCAAAAAAAAAAATTGTTATATATTGTTATATACTATACACACTTGCAAGCGAAACCAAAGAGCCGAATAAAATATGTAATTAGTAATTACTAATTACTAATTATAAATTACATTTTACGAACCATCGTGTGTGGCTGTTCAGGAATCGACCAGATAGTCAAAAACTGCAAATAAGTGGAGGCGAAATACGCTGTAAATTGTAATAGAGTAGTAGATAATATATTTCATAATATTGTTAAAATCGTAACATATTATTATTGTGTAGGAATGGTGTTAAGAGGTATTCAATTGAATAAAAATATATGCGATTTTGCCTTGGGAATTAATTATAATATTTATATTTATTTTTTAATCAAGCCATTATAATATGAATTTATAATGTTTTTAATGTTATTATGTATATTGTATATCGTGTATTTTTCCATGTAAATGTTACTACATCGGACCGGCTAGTGAAAAATAATGTACAAATATATTTTTAATTAGTTAGGGTATTAAAACGTTAAAAGATTCGAACGTCTATGACTGAATTATAAGTAGAATAGTAGATACCAGATCACATTGCCCGGCGGTCTCCTATAATATTATAGTTTTCCAGTTGCTGGCGACGTGTTGTAAACAATTGTTAAATTATTGTAAAATCGTTTTCCCATTGACCCCATTACTTTATTCCAGAACTAATGTCCGAATGAATTATGTGTCCCACTAATTTTGTATTTTAAATTCAAACCGTTGCTAGTGTCCGACCAATAAAATATTAAGTCTATACGAAACGTGTATATTTAATGCACTGTGTACGGTGTATATAATGCATTCGCAACGGCTGCGGCGGCAGCAGTAGCGGTCACGACTATATATATTAGACTGGGTGCATTTGCGACGAACATCATCATTTCATGGAGATTAATTAGCGGTTTAAGTTTAAGGTTCCATCGTTCATACATCAGTTGCAGATTTGAATGATCGTTTAAATTATACACTGAGTATTCGAGTCAATGAATCACATTAATCATTGAACATTACTCCTTTCTTGTATCATATTATGTGAACATAATAAAATAATACAATGTTTCTTGCGAAGGAGTAATGTTAATTTATATACATATTCTAACCATATAAAAAATCTAAACAATGAGCAATCGAAAACTGAAACTTTCTCTTGATTTATTTCCCAATCTTCATAACGAAAAATCAACTTTCCTAGTACACAATGTAATTGATAGTTGATATCTTTATTTACATTTGTTATTAAAAAATTAAAAATGATTTATAATTTTAGTGCAATCCTGTAGCGTGGTTTTAAATAACACCCAAGTACCGAACAATGTGATCTTGACAAGACATGGAAAATCGGAAACAATTCTCAGCTGTATAACAATAATATGTTAAACCGTATGTAAAATTTACACATATACCTATTAAAGTAAATATTCAACACATACGAATACAAATACCCGGTTTAATGGGTATTTTAGTCGAGTAGAAAGAATTCGAAAAAACAATTTATCTCTTTTTTTCAACATCATTGGAATGTGCAAACAATAATATATATTAGTTTCGTTGTTCGCACGAGGTGTATAATATTGTTCTATTGTAGGCTACTGTGTACAGCTAGATTAGTTCTTGACAGTAGGCAAAACATCGTTAAGAGAAATAAAAATCATAGTTAGATTTATTATTAAAGTATCATATTATTATTATTGCATCGTTTTACACCGCGGGGTCAATTTATAGCAACTGTGTGTACATAAATAAAAGCGTTTAAATACAAATAAAATTATGAATCGTTTGTTTTGAGTAATATACTTCCGTGTTTTTTTTAGATCTGAACAAGTTCTACGTATGTAGAATTACGCAAATTATTATTGTATTCATCCATTATAAAGTACAGTAATTTTATACTGTATAAACCTGTACATCACGCAAAACTCATTTTCAAATGCACTTGGTAGTGGTCACGATATAAGTATCTATACGAGTGTGTTAGAAGTTTTGGATTTTCTAATGCAAGTATGTAATTCATTCTTAAATAGTCATAACATCTCACTAAAGCTTCTTTGAAAAAAATTTGCGTATGGTATATTAATAATGTGTATTAAAACTTAAAAAAAACGTTTATATGACTAACTATTATAATACAAATTTAGTCAATATATATACAGGCGATTTAAGAAGGTACAGGTGCTTGACCCAAAATGTGTAAATTAAAATATATTCCCATCAACCACTTTGCATAATATAGTTGTAATACACGCAGATCATTTATAATGACGTCAGTGGATTGTATCCGTCATTACATTTATGAAATGAAATACGCACACCACACGGGAAAGCCGATATTGGTCACCCATACAAGACGCAAAATACCCACTTAAATCATGTTTACGCAATTATGTGTTGATGTAAATTTAATGTTTCTCAGTAATCATTATTGATATTAATTTTTATTGGTAAAAACCTATGTAGGCTATATATCTAGATGTTATATTCGATCGGGGATGCATATACATATATATTTATTTATTTTTATAATCACAAATTTGTTTGGACGTAAAGAGAATAAACATTTAAAAATCTAAATTAGTACCTATAAAAATAAATAACTATACAATAATATTATTATGAATTATAATTTTCAAATTGAATATTTATGCCAAATTATTTAAATGTTTAAAGATATTGACTGACTTACATTAAATAAAACAGATAACTTGTAGTTTACAATCTGTAAAAAATTAAGTAGATTAAAATAGATTATATTGGTCAAATATTGATTTAAAATTATAATTTATTACATTTAACAACTTCATATACAAAACATATTACGTATAAAAAGTAATTTATATTTTTTTTAAACTTCAAATACTATATATACTATACCTATAGGTAACAGCCATTAAAAAGTCATAAAATATTATTTTTTATTTTATATTACCATTTATTATAGGTATATTTCAATTTTAATACTAGCATAGTCCAAAATTTTAGATACTTATCGATGTGTACATTACAAGTAGGTATACTATATTCAACCACCATCAGACCACAAAAAATTAACCACGTTTTACTAAAACGTAATACCGAACTCTTATTTCATAAATGAATTATTTTTATTATTTCTATTAAATACTAATATAGAATCATAAGTACTATATTTTAATGTTACTTGACACTTTAAAGTATTCATAAATTCTGTAGATGTGAATTTTAAGGTGATATTCTACTAATGTTGAAACATTTCAGTTATCGGCTTCAGTGTGTGTATATACTATATATACATATATAGTATAAAAGCCACACCATAGAATATTTTTCTGTGATATCAATTTTCTGAGCCCGGAAATTAACGATTTTGGTAAGTCGTAAGTGTTATTGTATATTTCTTTTTATTAAGAAGGCTAGACGTTATTACTATTTAATATAATCAATATGACAATATTGTTATACCTATTTGATTTAATAATACATCAAACGTTATAAAATACAATATTTCTATTATTATTGTTTAGTGTAAGCTAAAAAGTGTTATTGTTATATATATAATATACATCAAAAATACATGAGTGCTTTATTCTGCTATAATTCTTAACTTTCGCCGAATTAATCGACAGTTAAGTGATCTCAATTCTTATACTAATTAAATCAACATCGGTATAATATGTTGATGGATTTCATTCCTACTTGCAATACCCCGAATAAAACGTAAGTACATCTTCAAGTTCACCAAATTTTAATACGGACTAAAAATCATGTAATACGACATTATGCTTTTAAAAATTAGCATTGTGTGTTAAATGGTTTTTTTATACATCGTTATCTCGTTCGATATTTTGTACATTGTTGGACAAATTTCCAACATGTCAAACAATATTTAAGATTCAGTAAACAGGTTTACGCATACTTTTAACCATTTTCATGTAAAACAAGCGAAGGTGAAATGTGAATCATGAGGCTGAACGCGAAATTGTTATTTAATGCAGGTCGAAATTAGGTCTAGGTGAATAGAAATTGAAACTTTACAGAATCCGTAATTATTGCAAAACTATAATATGAAAAATTATAATTTTTTTTTTAATCCTACATAATAAACTAATATTAATATACGTTTGACATTATTAAACCTACTATATGTCTATAATCTACATGACTACATGACTATATTTTCTATTTGATAATATTTACAAAATAAGAATCACACATAATAGTATTACGGTAGCCACTAGCCTGTATTAACAAACTATAATCCTTAGATAGTATTTTTGAATTTTTGATATTTAATATAAACATTTTTTAATATCCCAAAAGGTTAAGGTACGACAAGTATATGACAAGTGCGCCTAGCCCATATGAATGTTTATGATTAATTACTCAAAATGTTTTGCGTGGCAATTAAAAGCAAAGAAGAAGTAAGATTCGTAATTTGGCGTCGCGTTCATCAAAATCGTTCGGAAAAAGTCATTAGTCCATAGACCAAACGCATATTATACAGCACAAATGTTAAATAGTACATTAATATACACTTAACTATGCATGTTCGTAAGTACCTACTTATAAACTGCAGTGTATAGAAGTGGACGGCTTACAATGTCTTAAAATATTTAGTTAAACCTAACGTGACTATACCAGACACATTAATAATCGATGCGTAAATGCGTAAACAGTGATCAATACCATACCAGCGCTAAGTGTACGATATGCTATTTTATTGGGCTTATCGCGTGACCCCCCTGCGATAACTACGCCATGTAATAATATTATAATGACATAATTATTTGAATTCGGATGTACGCGGCATATTTTCCATAGTTTTAACCAATTTACTACTACTTACTCGGAGGGACTACTGCGGTCTGCGACGTTATTTGGTCTCAAATTTGGAATATGTGATTTGGATATAATATTATAGAAGGGGGGGGAGGTGTAATAATAATAACTGGTATCGTGCAGAGTCATAGATGTATGGTACTTACCGACTACCGTACTTGCGTTTCAAATCCTCCTGTAACGTTATACACGGGTATGTATACGTGTGTGTTGTGGTGCACTGAGGAGAGCAGTGTAGGGAACGAATTCGCGAGTGAAAACCGTCCGTTTGCAAGGCGTATCGATAACGAAAAAATGAAAAAAAAAACTAAACCGATGACGACGGTCGAGTCATTTGATCGGGGTGGTTCGTGTGCAGCACTCGCGACGGTCGAACGGAACGCGGGCGGCACATCAGGGACGGACAGAAAAATGATCAAGTACAATAATATCTCGTATCGGATATACTATTTAATTTATTTTTAATATTTATTATCGAAAACTAAGTCTCCGTGTCTTCGTGTCGTCGTCGTCGTCGTCGTCGTCGTCGGTCGCTCAGCGTAATGCGAGTGACGGTAATGTTTACTGCAGCCGGTGGCAGTAGTGGTCTGTAACGTCTCGCGCTGTATAGGTATAGGTAAGTGGCGTGCGCCGGCACACTGCTGCAGTGGCGTGTGCGTGAAAACCCACCGGAGGTGGTGAATAATGTGCGAGAGGCGATGTAAATGCGATGTGAGCCGATTACACCGCAAGAAAATATTATTTCACATAATATCTATTATTATTATAACCACCTGTACGCACGGCCGTCTCTAGGATGTGCATAAAACATTATATTATTATCATTATTATTACGTTGCGCGTCTATAATATATTAGACATGCCGCGTATACCATAGCGTAGGTAGGTACACCCCTAATGTCGTAAACCGTAAATAGGTATGGATATACACGTATTGTTGTTATTACTATTATTATAATTCGTCGTTAATCGTTTTATAGTACATTAAAAAAAAAAAAATGAATTACAATAATCGCCATGCGTATTATAATATGTTTTTTAACGATCTATACTCTATAGGTATCTCCGTCGGCGTGCGGACGTGTGTTCGATCATGTACCTACGTTGTTGCTGTTGTTGTTGTTGTTGTTGTTATTATTCGGGCTGACGTTCGATTTAGTTATATAAGCTCAGAAATTTCCTCGGTCCTGGTCCTTGAATCCTAACCCCTCGAATGCGCTTGACGTCATTCGTCTGTGCAGATTTCAAATCATTGCGATATGGCGTGCGGACTTAAGTATAGGGTACGCACGGCCGCGGCGATAGTAATGATACAGCATGCCTTTATAACACAACACATTTAACTACAAACCACCTTAATAATGACATGAACAATAATATATAGTTATAAATTATAATTATGTCTTTAGACCTTATTTGTTACACGCTTCGGAAATTTTATGACGCTCATGTATATAAGTACAATTAACCACGAAATCGGTAGGTACTTGAACGAGTTGAAGCAAAATATATGCAAATACCTACGTTTATTCGGCCTACATAGCATTGCCAGCAGTGGCGTCCTTAGTCCGATGTCTAGACGAGGAATGGAATGCTATATATTTATGTTACGGTGAAAGATGTAAACGTGGTAAAAGACGTCATTCCCCGGTAAATGACATCATTTACCTAAACATTGGTAAATGTTGTAAATGCAGACATTCCCCGGTTATTGTCGTCAATCACCAGTTTAGTTGGAGAATGATGTTCAATACTTTTATGTCGGTGTGAACGAACAGCGATAAGCGTGTAGGTGCCAAATAAGCTTCGTTAGTTAAAAATATCATGACGGAAGTAGATAGATAAACGAAAATCCCAACAAGCAATAACGTCGATAACCCGAGTAATAATATGAGATAATCTATTAGTTTATTAGTTAGTATCTACGGGAATATTATAGCGAGTTGTATATGCGACGAGTGTGTGTTTTATAATATTATTTGTAAAAATTTGTGTCACCAGTGAACAAAGTGTAATAAGAGTTAGATTCAATTATAGTGTTAGTTTTATTTAATAATTATGGAGAACAAATTTAGAGCAGAAATCGACAAAATTATTAGCAGTAAAAAGAGAGACGACAACATATTTTATTTTAGTTCTGAAGAGTACAACAACAAAATCCAAAAAATAAAAGAATTAAAAATTGGAACACTTAAAAAAACGGTAACGAATAATAGACTTATACGTAAATATGATGTTGTGTCAATTGGGGGAAAAGAAAAATTGATTAAGCCTATAGTTGATAATGAATCTGACGTTTTATATTACGTCACAGTAGACGAGTTGTTTGAAGTCATCCATACAGCACATTTAGCAGTAGGTCATGGTGGTAGAAATAGGATGATGGCTGTGTTAAAAACAAAATATTGTAATGTGACAACGGAGGCAGTTATGGCATATTTAGGTTTATGCAGTAATTGTCAAGTAAAACAATCAAATCCGAAAAGAGGGCTTGTGACAAAACCAATTTTACATTCCGCATTTAATTCAAGGGCGCAAATTGATTTGATTGACATGCAATCTCAAAATTATAATAATTATCGCTATATAATGAATTATCAAGATCATTTAACAAAATTTGTTATTTTAAAACCTTTGAAGACAAAAAGGGCCGAAGAAATCGCTTTAAATCTAATAGATATTTATACAATATTTGGTGCACCCGCTATACTCCACTCGGATAATGGTCGTGAGTTTGTAAATTCTATTATAACAAATTTAAATGAAATGTGGGGAGACGTCAAAATTGTGCATGGCAAGCCTCGTCATAGCCAGACCCAAGGATCAATTGAACGCGCGAATAGGGACGTTGAAGAAATTTTGGCTTCTTGGATGGCTGATAATAAATCAAAAGACTGGCCAATGGCATTAAAATTTGTGCAATTTCAAAAAAATCGGGCTTTGAACTCAGGTAAGCTATTCTAAAAACAATTTTTTTTTAATAATTTTAATTTTAATTAATTAATAATTTTTTTTTTTATAATATTATAAATGTATAATTTATATTTATAATTTTATAATATATTTTTTTGTTATAATAGGTATTGGAAGATCGCCATACGAAGCGATGTTTGGTTGTACAGCGAGAACAGGGTTAGCTTCAGCAGGGATACCTTACGATGAAATAGAAAAACTTAAGTCAGAAGAGGATATTGAAGAACTATTTAATAACAGCAACCATTCAGATCATATAAATGCAGTAGAAGATGATTTAGTCGATGTTGGAGATCTTGACAATGAAGTAAACTTGGAGACTGAAAATGAATTAAGAAATACTAAAGACATAGGTAATTATTTAATATTTATTATATGTAATTTGGCAAAAATACTTGCATATTTCTGCAAATTTAATGGTTGTTGCGTATTTTTACAAAATTTGATTTGCATTGCATATTAAACCAAAAGTTTAAAAACATAATGTATAAAATAATAAATCATTATTTATTTTTTATTATTACTTAATTTGTAAATTTAAAAAAAAATAAAAAATAAATTCTTGCATATTTTCATGATTTTTACTGCATATTATATGGCATATTTCGATAGTTTTTAGTGCATAAAAATCCGAGCTATATAAATTTAATAAAATTGTATAATAATAAAATGTAAAATTTTTTTATTTAAATATAATAGGTTAAAAAATAGTAATCGTCATCTATTTACAGGTAAAAGAATTGAAAAAATTAAAGACCAACGACAAAAATCGGTTGTCTGTCTCGAAAAACAAGCGTCGAAAATGTTGAGATTGACTAACGAAAAATTTTCTAAGCTTGATGTCGGTACAACTGTTCGTGTCCCAATACCAGATGTCGATAGAGCAAGAGGTTCTCCGCGTAATTTACTTGCTGTTATTATTTCATGTGAAGATGACATGTATAAATTATGTAAGCCAATTTTAATTTGATAATGTTTATTTAATTTAAAATGAAATAAATACCCGAATGTTTGAATCAGGTACAGAATATGGGGTGTTGAAACACAAATATACACGAGCACAAATTTCTCCGTGTAAAGAAAAATTTCTAGAGCTAGATGAAGCCATGAAAAAAATTAAAGACAGGGAAATAACATTACGAGAAGCCGCAGGACATGGAATAGCTGGTCATCAAGGATTTAATCGATGCAACTGTAAAACTGGTTGTGGAACTAAAAAATGTGCTTGTAATGCAGCAGAAATGTTGTGCAGTTCAAAATGTCATGGTAACCAAAATTGTACAAATAAATAATTTATAATATGTACGTATTTCATTATTTTTAATTAACTTATTATCCCATTCAAATAAATACCTAAAATAAAAAATGAATTACCCACCAACAATGAATCATTATTATAAGTAGTACCTATGGTAAAAAAATCAGTGTATTATTTGAGATTTATCATCATTTACCACCAGTTTTGGTAAATGACATCAATGGCCGGTGAAAGATGTACATTTGAATTTATAATCTGGTTTTTTACACCATTTACCTACATAATCAAATCATTTTGGTAATAGACGTCATTCACCGGAGAATGACGACATTCACCAATATTCATCTTTCACCGTAACATTTATATATTATACCAATGTCGTGTATATAAGGTATGTAAGTACTAAGTTCCAATGCACACAGCAAGTAAAACCATATTTATGCGTGCAACGTGTAAGTTCGTATTCGAGAATAAATTAAAATTTACCTACCTGCACCTATGCATGTATGATATGTTAGTTCTTACACCAAGTTACAATTGAAAATGTTCTTTCCTATTTTCCTAAATAAAATTAGATACATTCCCTACACACTTTATTCAGACATTGGACTTATAGGACTGGCGCCTTGAGGCTTGAAGTAGTTTTGGAGCTGTTACAATTTATTAGTTTTGTGTTCTTGATTTTACATATGGTATATCACACAGAAACGCACCGTACCCACTCCAGCTGCTATATGCACCTATATAATTTGTCTGTCCTAATTCTCAAGTATACTAATAATATAACTCAACATAACTATAATATTTTAAATTTTAAAACGTTTATGGTTTTACCTGACATGTCCCGTGTAAGAACTTACTTTCTCGAATGGTGTAATAAGTCGAAAAACACACTATCATATATATATATATGATATATTTATATGTTTGCATAAATATTGGTGAGGTCAGGAAATAATAAACGTATCAAACATAATAATATTTTTATACTGTGGTCGCTGGTACCTATAGCCAAAATACGGTAAACCGTAAAATTTGGCGTCAACTTTCAGGATGCCTGCAGTGTACAATGTTTTAACAAACCGTTGTCAACCCATGTAAATAACAACCATTGCATACCATTTTCCTGTCTACGATTTGTTATAGGTAAAGATATAAAGATTTTAAGATTTTGAATGTATAACAATGGAATTTAGTTCAATGTAAGACTCAATTACATTCAAGTATTGAACATTACAAGTACATGATGGATTTAGTATAAAGGAGAACACAGTGAGTATAAAAAACCAAAATAGTTTTAAAATTAGTGTTTGTAAAATAACCTGGCCTATTCTTGAAATGTACCAAATAATATGGTATTCTTGGATACGACATATTACTATAATAGTTTATTTATGCTGAACTTGTATCTGCATGAAAACTAGTTCAATTTTGAACACAACTATCAAAATAAATCATAATATAATGTCGAGATGTACGACTGATGTTTTGAATGCAAATGTATAAAATGAATAATAACAATAATAAAACGCGTGTTACGAGTTATGTGTTTTCTTATAAACATATTATGCTTTAACATTTTTACCATCGTTTATTATAGTGACTTGATGTTAACAGCATTGTAAGAAGAACAGTAAAATTATTCAAAAATTAATGAAATAATGATTTACCTTTTAATCAAATATTTCACGATTTAATATCGTGCCTATTTTTTACTATATAAAACTTATCAAACATTAACCCCCCCAAAAAAAATGTATTTTATTTTTGGTTGCTACGGTTTGCTCAAAATTAACTTACTAAATATTTTAATATTATATGTTTATAATATTTCAGAGTGCATACACATTGATAAATAATTCAGTTGGGACAGTTAGGTGTTTTGGTATGTAAATTACCAATACAAATTATATAATATGTTATAAAATTCATGATTGTTAATTCATTACTCATTAGTCAATAGATATTATGAATTTAAAATATAAAAATATCTTTTTATAATTATTGTTACATAATTTGAATAAATCAACTTTTAACTTGTTATTGCCTGTCTACACTTTTATAGTTTAGGTACATACATGATATTAACTCAATGTCAAATATTTTACTTTCTTTTAACTATTTTATTTAAATTTAATGGCTAATATTAGAACTTCTATTCCATCCAACAAAGAATCCTAAAATAGACTTCTACAGCTTATTTTTTGATCGAGAAAGTTGTTTTGTCAGAAAAATGATTTGGTCCTTGAACGTCTTGAACAATACAATTATTTAAAAAAAATCCTTTTTTTATGTATCAATTGGACGAACCTATATTATTTTAAAGTCTTGAGTTATTAGCTACCTACCTACCTAAATTGTATTATTTATTTTTAGATTATTTTTATAACTTTAGTAGTTCAATGTCACATTCACTATTTTATTATTCATCAGCCAATACTGAATCTATATAGGTTAGGTCGCTCAGAAAGTGGAACTTAAAGTATAAATATATAATGTGTATTGATTAAATAGCTTGACAAAAAAATAAAATAAAATTGTGGATCAATAAAACAAAGTTAAAAATTTAGTAAATACAAAAATTATGAATATTAAAGTAGTATATAATATATAATACAATAAATGAATAAAAAATTACGTATTGGTGCCTTATATACAGGTAAAAATGAATGGTTCACTGAATTAATCAATATACATATTATGCAACCAGGCATAAATATAAAATCTGGAGATCTCATTTTGCTGCGTATACTATACTATACTATACTATGTCAAGTATAGCTATATAGGTTTCGAACGTAAATCTTGTCATTAAGTAGGTCACTGGCCGCTGCGATTGTTGTGTTAAATTCGAATTTACTGATAAATCATCGAATACAAAGAATTTTTTATGTGGCTGTTAATCAAATGCTCGAAAATCAAAACAATTCTTATTAGGTACTAATAATTATATAACCCCAAAAAATGCATCCACAGTTGTGGGTTTATAACGTTTTCACATTTCACATCATTACTATTCCCTCGAATTGTTGGTATGCTTATACAGCTGTATAGCAATTGAAAACTTGTACGCCGTTAAAATATTATGTTTTCATTGATTCGTACATTATTCTAAAGTCTGATAAGTATTACCATATGTTCCTCACGATGGCTGCAATTAATCGCTTGTTTTCTTTTATTCGAATGTGCTTGAATTAAATATAGGTACCAAGGTACCTACCTACTTCCTCCCTTGTCACTTTTTGCATTTTAACTCAAGTATAATATTTAGTCAAATAGGTAAACCGTTGACGGTAGTTAACGTGTATCGTATAATAATATGTTATTGTTTCCATTCAAATATTTGCTTTCCTTGGAGAATAAAATATTTTTTTAGAATATGTTAATTTGTTTGAATAACACAAATTCCGAAGAAAATTCTGATAAAATTATCTTGAAAATCATTAGTCATTAGTTTCTATAAGCTAATAAATTGTTTTAGTGCACACTTTGTGCACGAACACGGTTCAGAATCGTGTACAGAATTTGATGAATCATCATTCAAATTTAAAACGACAAGGCAGCAAGCTCAATCGCTCAGATGAGTCGTATACTCTTATGGATAAATATAGCCAGTATAGGTACACAAAAAGATCTTCACAAACCAATTTCAGTTTTTATTTCCTCGCTGAAATTATTGTTACGTAACAAGTATTTATGCGTTAAATTAATAGTTATCGATAATAATTGACTGTTAACGGAAAAAACTGAAATATTTGAATGTACCAATTATTGTTATACTTCTTACTCATATTTAATTATTTTTTAAGTATTTTTCAGTGAACCTTTACTCAAAATAGAATAATCCAACACTTTAAAATAATATATTTTAAACATAAGTAGTAAAATGTTCAGAAGTTAAATATATTACCTTTTCTGGTCTAAAATGTCGGTAAGTATTTCAAGCGTTAGCTTTTAAGTTATAACGCAAGTGACTCATTTTTAAGTCTCAAATTTATTTCTTAAGTAGGTAATAGGTAGTATATTATGATATACATACATTGTATTTTACACATAGGTACATAAACCTAAATTTATTTCATACGAAAAATGTTTTCTTTTTTTTATTATTTAAAAGGTTTACCGGCTTCGACTGCTAAAGTTATTAGTCTGCAATTCTTAAATACTAGAATACATATTTGGTGATATTTACAATTTATAAATGACGATTAAATATTTAAAAATGTTTTTACATAGACATTTTGATATTTTTGTGTCAGCTATATTTTTTATACAAATATTTAGGTTCCGCTAATTTGCTAAATAATTTCCGAAAAAGATATACCTAATCTAGCTGAAATTTCATTCAAACATATTAAACAAAAAAATGTAACGTTTATTTATTTATATAACACAACTATTTTACTCTAGTTTTAGTACGACTTTTTTTTATCAAGATATTGATAAACCATAAATGCTTAGGTGTACCATACGCGAGTTTATACACACAATTTGCTAACAATTAATTGAATATTTTACGTAAAATATTTTAAGTATTTTAACCGATACTAAAATATACAATCTTACATAAAAAAAACCATATCATGGTAGAGTCAGCAGTATATATACCTACTTTATATATTTACTTCCTCTATCAGTTAGAAGTCAAAAATAAAACATTATATAGTTATAATTACAATCTGTTTTTAAAACCTGCTATGAAATGTTAAAAAGCATAATTACAGAACAACACGTACCAACATAGCACCTATATTGTATTTTTTTTTAGTGCCTATTGAATTGTTTTGTCTTATAGTACCACCTGTATGATTTCCTTTTATGTGTGTATAGATGAATAAAAGAAGGACTTTTGCAGTTATTGGAAAAAATATCATAAAAAAAATGTCAAATAAAACAATCCTTGATGATCTGAATATCACCGTTGAAAAACAATCAATGTAAGTTTTTTGACTTCCATAGTTCAATACATATCGGTACCAGTGTACCACAATAGTTTGTACAAAACATGAATTATAATGTTACACATTTTCTTAATTTAAGCTAAAACTTTAAATCTTTTAACAAATCCAATAGCCATATTTATAGCTGCCACTGTCGTATTTTTTTTAGTAAAAAAAAATTATTTGTATAAGGCACGATAAGATCGTGATTGAGGTCGGTCCGAAAGGTTATATGCCCTTATACTGTTAAAATATTAATTTTTTTTTTAATTTCCTAAAATAACTTTACCCTATTTAGTTTTTTAGCATTTAATGTCTTACTTAAAGTATCGTTAGAAAAATTCTATAAACTGTGCACTGAGGTCGAATAATTTTCTTTTTGTAATTTTTTTCAAGGTATAATATGTTCAAATTTCATAAAACAAAACAACACCAATCATTATGCAAATGTAATTTGTTTATAAATACCTATGTTTATTTCCTTATTTTACTTTTGATACTTATAGAATAATACATAATGTCCTCAATCTAGTGACTAGCACGATAATATTGTCTTGATTAATTTATAATAATTCAACAGTTAGCATGCTGTTTTTATTTTATCAGAAAACAAAAAAAATAATTATATAATAGACATTACGAAAACACTCAACATGAATAGTTATAATGTATTAATAAGTCGATATATATAATATAGGTACCTATATAGTTCGATACAACAAAAGTGTTATCAGCGAAAATTATATTCAAAATAGTTATATTATTTACTTTATTATTGACATTTGTAATATCGACATGATAGCTATAGTTATATTACATATTTTTATGCATAATAATAGTATTCTCAATTTTCCAATTTATTTTGTATAAAATAGTGATCAATAATTCTGTTTACCTTTACTATATATTCTGTGATCAATGTAGCGTCGATCGTTTTAGATGTATAGGTATAGGTATACACATTTTTAAAATATTTCAATTCTATAAAAGTATTAAGATTTATAACGTACTATGTATTAATATTTACATAAAAAAATGCTTAATCAATTATTAAACATTAGTATCATGGTAAAAAAAAATGTTAGGAAGCGGAAGATGACCTTAAAACAATATGAAGAATCTCTTATGTCCTTCATGTTTCGATTTCCAAAAACATCAACAGTTATATTATATAAGCCTCGATGGGCATCCTTCAAACATAAACAAATCTCACTTACTGAAATTTTTTTATTGTTTTTATTAAATTATTTTATCTTTGTTGAACTTGAAAAAAAAATTTAAAAAAAATTAATATAATTATACACGTTTCATAAACATATAAAGACCAAATATTTATTGTCAGTGGAGCCCTTCGGATTTCTTTGTTCTAAAGTTGCAAAAAAAATTAAAGAGGGTGCTCTACTTTATGACGTTTAAACACTCGTGTATAGATGAATATTAAATTTATTTTTTACAATTAATTATATCTGTGCAATAAGCATACATGTGATTATAAAGGTAATAATGCTGTGATTAACTATCGTGGAAAAAGCCGCCCATTTGTTATTTATTTATATGTGAATTACGAATTATGATTTCAGTTTCATTAAACTGAATGAGAGCACATACACAAATATATAATCATTCTAATAAAGGTCATTCTACCGATTAGTGTAAAACAATTCATTATACGTTTCAAATTATTGTGTCCCCCAAAAATCTAACCCTAAGGTTGGTTTTCTGAGAAATTCATAATCGAGTACCGTAGGTCCACGGCTATAATTATATACTTAACCTTTCACTTTTAATACCTACTTCTTTATGTATTAATCTTTTAAACAACAAGAGGCGAACAAATCTTCTGTCTGTGGCAATGAGATAAAATATAAACTATGCTTTTAACTGCGCCGGAAATATAGTTCTAAACACGTATAATATGCGTTGTATATAAATGTTCTTTTGGCGGATTACAAAAGTACGAAAGTTTCCACATTAATTTTAAAGATAAATTATTGAAAATGTAAAACATAAAATGTTGAACAAATAGGTACAGGAACCTTACTGAAGCTTTAATGTGTTTTCTGCACAAAATATATTATTTTTATACATACATTTCACCCTACTCAGTTACGCAGTGTTGGGCGAAAATGGTTCGGGCAAGTCAGTGTTGCTGAGGTGTCTGTCGGGCATTTTGGAACAAGACGGCGGTGAAGTGATAATGATGGCGGATGACAATCCAGTGGCCTCGGGCAGCAGTGGCGTGGTAGGCAGTCCCGGGGGCAGTGGCGTCATCGGTGCGGAGGGGCAGACAATCGCGCGACGACGTCAGCCCAAGATCGGGTTTGCCCCACAGGTATGCATTTTTGAGCATTTGCAGATGACGGTTGTGATTGCGTAATTTATTTATCAACTCGTCTAAAATAATTATTATTTCCGTCTAATGGTCGCAGGATTTCGATATGCCTGGACCGATGCGAATATACCACCTTCTGTACTTTATTGGTGCCGTCAACGGACTAATCGTTGACCAAATCGTAGAGAAGTACAAGGCTATAGTACCGATGACCGGGTTGCCGCCGACCACAAAATTCTTGGTCGACCAACTAAGGTTCGTTTTAAATCCACGAAAAAGTGCTGGTCGTTGCATTATGCGCACATAGCACATATATACAGGGTGATTTTTAAAGCATTAAATATTTTATGCAGCATTTTTTAAATTATGCACGTATTAAAATTCAGATTTTTGGAGTTTTTAAATATACACTTTAAGACAATTTTTTGAATAATTGAAATTTTTGTGCCACAATTAATTTAAATAATTAATTGTATAATTCTGTGACAATACATACTTCAGTTTTTCAAGTAGGAACGTCTTTTTTAATTTTTAATTATGAGCTGATAATTTTTATGTATCTAAATTAAAATTACAGGTAGTACTTTTTGAAATATGTAACATTATATTCTAAGAATAATCAATAATATATGTCTATGGCAATGGGTTAGGACGGTTAAGTAGATATGGGGCTTGGACGATTTGAAAAAGTTAGCAATTACTATTGATTTATTAATACAAATAATTTATGAAAATGATCAAGTGTAGTAAATTCTACATCTAACGATTAACATTACATATAATTTTTATTTTTATAAAAACATTTTGATGGATTATTATCCTTAGTGTAAACATTTTAGTAACTCATAATCTACTGAATAGAATAGATTTGGATTCATCACCATTTTCAAAAAAGTCATTAGCTAAATAATTTTCAGTACAAAAGGGGGTTCTTATTTGCAAAATAGAAGTTTGTATCACCACAAGACATTTCTGAAGGCTAAAATAGTACATCACATATCAGAAATTTGAAAATATGGTCTTTAAGTACACTTAAAAATCTTAAAGATCAAAATTTGAATAAGTATACTATTAAGGGGAAAAATGGTGGCGCGCGTGCTTAAAAATTCACCCTGTATACTCTATAGTATACAGTGTTACTATATTGGTACCCAATGTAGTGTTCTCATGTTTTGATATTTGAAAATTGTGTGTTTTCGAAGTAACCTATGGGCTATGACTGGCATACGTCATGCATTAAGTATTTATTTTTGGTACATTTATATAATTACAAAAAAAGTCAAATTACAATTACTAATTACTATTCAAATTAGTAATGATAACTTAACTAATTACAAATATAAAATAAAAGTAATAAATCTTAACACGTGTGAGTAAATAATTGTGATAAATTAAAATGTAGTCTACATAATTCTATGTACCCATAAAAAAACACATTTACCATTTACCTAAAATATACTACGGTGTGTGTACTGGCAATTACTTAATAATACAATTTTAATTTTATTAAATTTACATATAAATAGAAACTATTAATCGTATCTGTCTAAAATCTAATAGAATATTTCTCTATAATTATTTTAATTACTATTTTCTACAGGCAGATACTATAAATTAAAATTATTGATTTATTGGTTTTATCGTATATTATATAACTAATACAATATTTTGTTCTCAAGATTAAGCCAGAAGAAAGTTTTATCTCTGGTGTTAGCAATTCTACACGATCCCGAAGTTATTATTTTAGACGACATCACTACTGGCATGGACTCCGTAACGTTAAAAAAGTAGGTTAACCTTTTTCATTGTGCTGTGCATTGTTGTTACATGTTTAAAGAAGCGTTTATTATTATTCATTACCTATATTTGGAAGGAGTATATGCATATGATGTTTAAATCGTATCTGTATGACTATATCTAACACCTATGTGGCTATGTAGATTGTTTTTTAAGGCACATCAATATTATGTCATTATATTTAAATTATTACATATAAAGAAGAAAAAAGGCCTTTACGTTGTGACATAATATATTAAACCATAACATTAGAGCTATTATTGACCCCCTTTTTCCCTTTTGTATCGATATCGAGCGATATATTCTACATCAGCGTGACAGTATTATTTGTACCTATATGTCATATTAGTATACCTAATATTGATTATATTATAAGTTATTTGTTGTCGTGTCGTATATAATATAGTTGTTTTACTCCTTTTTACATTATCATCTGTAATGATAAATTAACATTCATATTAATATGTCTGTTGTACCACGGTCCACAGACACAACCTAAGCATATAATTAATATAAATATAATGTTATCTGTTCCCTAAATTATATATATTTAACACAACGTAAAGGTATTTAACATAACACAATTCCTAATTACTAATAAATCTAAGAGGTCAGCAGACAGTACTATATAGTATATAGTATATATAACGTTCACACGTAATAATTAATAAAATTACAGTTCTTTCCTGTCAACTCGCAAAATTATATTATCAAAAAATATATACTTAAATACTTTATGGTTGTTCGGACGATTACGTGATATTTCTTCAAAATAACAGGTTGTACATTATTGGGTTAACGTATTACATTCTCGTAGAAATATCATCAGGTCGTACAGTAGCCGGATACTGGTTTGGATCATACGTAGGTATATTATGTGTTAATCTTGCTTTAAGGTAATAATATTTGCACCGCACGGATTTTGTTATCGAACATTATTAGTCCAAGGCCCTGTACAGGCGCAAAACATAATAATGATATACCTGCGTCGCTATTCTATATGGCAGGGGAAGCCAGAATCATCGTTGAAGATTAGACCTACAGACATTTTTTTTAAACCTAAAAAAATATTTGAGCTGCCATCTGTGAGGGATAATTTATTAGTCACTTAACAACAACATTCAGCATATATTATACAAATAAATACGAATTAAAAATCCTATAATGGTTATAGATACGATCGTCGCAATGTATAACCGCTTGCGACCCTACCATCAAGTTAAGGTATACTTGGAGTCAGTGAATTTAAAAAAAATAAACAACGAACTATAATATTCAAATACCTATGCATTTTTTATCGGTTGTGAAACAAATAAAACCAAAATTATGTTTAAATAATATTTACTCATCTATAATATGCTATATAATATAATAGTATATGTATATATATACACACGCATATATAATGTAGGTCTCTCGACTTGTCTACTATTGTCCTTCGAGTTTCGTTATGTAAATAAGTATTCAAATTTTTTACGTGTTTTAGTATATGGACACTTTTAACATATATTAACTTATCCAGAAAATGTACAATAATCGTGTCAGCTTCCAATAATTTTTGCTATATGGAAACAGCAGTTACGCACGTAAAGACCAATTTTTTCAATCTAAAACGACATTACTACATAACTAACAAAGCTATAACTAAAACCAGATAGGAATATTGATGAATGGCAAAATAATAAGAGAAGACACTACTACTAATCTTATGGAAAAATTTAAAACATCAAGTATAGAAGATTTGTTCATATCAGCAATATTCGCCAACGATAACCTGCGCAGGAATATTGTAATACATACAATTATTACTAATTAAAGTACCTATTTCACATACACCATAATTAACCATAAAGCTATATGTTTATTTTTAAGCCAGCAAAAAGAACCAGAAGATTATCGATCATTAATAATCGTATTCCGCACCAATATACATCATTACTAAGTTCCGCATTCGCCACAGTAAATATTAAAATATATACATTAAGTAAGTATTAAAATCAGAAAAAAATCAATATACCTATTATGCCTAGACAATGGTGTGTAATATACAGGCAATATTATTTTTATGGTAATAAACAGCAGTATAGTATTAATGTATTATATTATTACCTATATATCGTCATATCGATGACTTGCTGTATTTATATAATTATATTTTATGTACCATTTTTGATTTTGATTTTTTTTTTTAGTTTATTGGCGTAATAAACTTATAAACATAAAATATTAAATTTATTACACACTTTTATCGGGATAATAGAGAGATGAATAATAATAAAGTTATAACTTATAACCATTATAGATGTGATAAAATAATTTCGTGTTGCAGGCGAATATGGGACATGCATTATTATGATTTTGATGTCTACAAAAATAAAAAACTATTTTAACGAATAGGTGTTGAATTATTTTATTTAAATGATTAATACACCTTTTCGTTTGTTGATTTTAGGAGCTCGATGAATCCAAAAAACGAGAAAGAGTTCTACATGCACTAATACTAAAAAACATTTGGACTTTGATCGGAATTCATTCGTAAGCGTTTATTAACCATTTTTACTTGATATCATATTTATTATTTAGTATAAAATGAGTCATTACCTATTTATTATAAGTTTATAAATGCGATGTCACTGCAGTTATATATCTTAAATCTCCACGGTTCCTAATCACCGTCTCTTGATTTGTACACACACACAAATACTGGGTGATCCATTTAACGTAAGAGACTCATTATTTTGGAAAACACATGTTTTTTTATATATTTTAATTTCATATTCGGGGTGAGTATCTCGATCCATCAAAATCAAATTTTGGAAAAGTAGTCTATCACATATAAGTATTTAAAAACTCTGTATTATTCCACTCATCAAAACTTTGAATACTTACTTATATCAAGTTATAAGTTATAACTCATAAACTACTAATCCAAAATTTGATTTTTTGTGTATCAAAATATTTAAAAATACATTCTAATTTGAAATAAGAAATATAAAAAAGTAAAAATAACAAAAAATAATAACAATAAAGTATAGTTTTTGTTTAGAAAAATGTTGTTGATCACCCGGTATATTGGTACTTTTACCGCAACTGCCTGCAGCTTCACGTTATTGAGGCTTTGAGTATACCCCATGGTGGTTTAATGTTTATGTTACGTCATAAAATCATTATGGTTTTGACTTAAGGTGATTCAGTTAAATTTAAGTAGGTATACACAATTAGAATTGAGTGTTTTAAGGAGGATCCCATAAACGGCTAATCACAATGTAAAATGTACCTATTTCATTGCACGTTGTCATACATCGATTTTAATATAACAAAAATACAAAACTTCGAAGGTTTTTCGATAGATTTTCAAGTACAATCACCTATATCAAGATTTTCGGTTATCTTAACATTAGCCGTTCTTCGTGGTTTTTTATTTTTATTATTCTTAATTACATCGGTTGCAAAGGCCATTAGTCACAACTAAATAAATGCATCATAATAATCATCTAAATTTGGTTGAACAGGTCATGAAGATGATCATGTTGTTGTGATGTCTTCTGTGTTGGGACCTAAAGCCACGTCCAAGTTGGTTGAGATGTTAAGTTTTTTGACGTCTTCTTCATAATTATGGTATTAAGTAATTAAGTGCTCAATCGTTAAGTAGACGCCGCAGGTTGAGCACTGAGGTGATTCCCCTTTTATCATTAGGAACTTATGGGTTATTCTTATGTGACCTATCCGGAGACGATTGATTACTATTTTTCTCTTTTGATGAGATTAAGATTTAACCATTGATATATTTTATTTTCGATTTCGAGGAGTTTGGTACGTTGTCTCAACCATCTTCGTGGTGTATCTGATCTTCTAATTTGGTTTATGACAACAGTATATGACACTCTCTGTCTCTCTGAATTTGTCAATGAAAAGTGAACACTTTTAAGCTCATACCCGTCTTGAAAATACAATATTGTGTTCGTTCAACTAAAAGGAATTAAGTTTAAGTGACATACATATACAGAATCTATAGTATTTTTCTTTGCATGTATATATTATTAATTATTATTATTCAAAAGATGATTTTTAATATTACTTACACAATGTTTGTAACTGTGCATTGATTGAATACACACCAGTTAAACTTCTAGAAAATCGCATATGAAAAGAGATTTTTTTTATTTGCTCTCCGGTACAATTTAGAAAAATTGACATTAGGCCAGTGGCGTCCCCTAGACACTTTTATAGGGGGAGGAGAATTCCATACGTTATATTTATATATAAACACAAATACACGAATTACTAGGTAGTTCACCAAAGTCACTCAGGAAAAAAAGGTCATGGTGGGGAGGGGGGTTACTGCCCCATTCGCCTCTCCCATAAGGATGCCCTTGCATTAGTGCTTTTGAATTTTAATGGAACGCCTGCGATATATAATATAATACAATACGTACAATTTTACATAAAGTACGAAGGTAATATTGTAACATTGTAATATTTTTATTATAATTTATAAAAATATATTTTAATATGTGATATTGGTACCTACGTTGGTCGGTCTTTAGCCAACACAACTGAATATAATATGCGCATAATATTATTGCCCACTTACATTCCACAGCAATTGCAGTACACCACTGCACGTTGTTTATTATAAACGTTGGATAATTTCGATCTTTCTGCAACTCAAAATAACATATACTTTACACGAGTAATCTGATATATATGTTAATATGCCAAATACGCAATCCGTTGTCTGCGCATGCAACTTGGGTGCGGCTATATATATATATATATATATACGAGCAACGATAGTACATGAATAATATATAGGTATAGATATAGGAGTCGCAAGTAACACGGGAGGATATTATTCTGGTTCATTTTTATAATATCGTGTATATACTATTATAACCTCGCATATTATGTAAGACATTCGAATTTTTTAAACGTAATTATTAACGATTTCTACCACGTGACTGCGGCAATCATATTAAAATGATAATAAATAATAATTAATAAAAAATGATTCTTACCGATCCTGCCCCTTCCACTATATTTTCAATTGTAATAAATGGTTTTATGGTCTACAACACATAAACCGGAAGGCTTATTTACATTTTTTCAACATGTCGAAATCGACGAAATCGTACGGATTTGTGGAAGTGCAGACGGTCCGCACAATACAAATTATTAATAAATAATTATTTAAATAATTTATTCTTTTTTTACAATATCACTTAGTAAATTCTATAGGTTATTACTTATTATAATATATTTTATAAAAGCATTAGCCATTAAGTGACATTTACCTTTGTTTTATTTTTATAAATAAACGGATTAATACGGCTTAAGAATTAAAACAACTGCATTCAATAGCTCATACCGATATAATAATAATAACAGTGACTTACCTGGATAAAAATTTAAGAGGGGGCAAAATAATTTATTCACCAGAATTAAAACCCTGACCCCCAGTTGATCTTAAAACTCATTTTATGGTTTAGAAACAAATTGTCGGTAGCAAGTACAGGGGCTTATATTTTTAAATAGTATTAAAAACCTACATAACTACGCACGAGTTCATTAATAAAAATTGCTATAAGAAGTTTAAAAAAGTTACTACTAATTATGGTATAAATATTATTCATACATAATTTGAACAATAAATAATAAATTAATAACCCACGAATAATTTAATGAAATTAATATCGCGAAGTGAAGTTGACGCTTCAACTAGGATCAACTATAACATTGAGTATTGACGATACGTCAATATATGTAATATTAATATATAGCTAATATATATATATGACCCAACAAAAGAAACATAAAATAAATTTGTATTTTTATGAAATAGTTTGAGGAAAAAAATTTTAATATTATATTATTATGTTAAATATCATGTAAATTGCATTTTTTTTTTATCTTAAGAATTTTCAAATATTTGTTTTGTTGGATTATCTGGGAAAGGTAAAATTATTCCTTTACCACCTCCCTCCACAATTACGCCACTGAATAATATTAATTATAATAATTAATAATATGCTTTGTCGCAATATTTTTGTATTTTTAGCTAATAAATAATTATATTATCTATTCGGTACTATGTTCAATGTTGCATATTTATTAAATTAATTATAATTATTAATCACACAGATAAGTTGAATAATAATAAATACCTAAATATCTGTGTTCTTGGGTTTGTTTGCAGCATATCGTATGCTGCATTTGCGTGCGTAATTCTGTTTCCTTTGGCCGTGCACTGGACGTTTGAGGGGTACCCGAAAAACAAGGTGCCCTTAATGGTGCATAACGAAGATTTGGGCGACTACAATAACGAGACGATCGAACCTATGAGTAATATGTTCATCAGTCGTTACTTGAAATTGCATTTTCCTGTGGTCAGTGAAATAGTTTTTTATACCCACGACCTACCAACACACACGTGCACAATATTGTTTGTAGCTACCAGTGTCCACTGTTTAGTGTAGGCCATTGTTATCTACTTGAGTAGAACTAACCATGGCAATAACTTGTGTATCTAACCTTTTGGCTTAAAATCCCAATTTGTGTTCTTCTCCTCTTGATGGCTGTTTATGTAGTGTATATAGTGAACTTGCGAACTCTTAAAATTGGGAAGTAATTATAACGTTAGGTATTTACGTAATCACACATAAATACGATATAATAATGTCATTCAGATCATAACTTTTATTAATGACATTTTTTCAGATGAGTTTTAATATGATAAATGTATATTTTAATATTTCACAACACAAAATACCATTTTATTTTTTATGTTTAAAATCTTAATAAAAAATATGATTATGATGTACCTAGTATTTCTTTGATCTACATCAAAGATGGAATGTTGATGATACACGTAAGACACTTAAGGGGACGTTGCACTGACATTTGTTGTCTCTGTCTTACGAGTACGTAATATAGCAAATTTCAGGAGATCACGTTTAGCTCTATTGGTTTAAAAACTAGAGTGAATTGACCTCTCATAAAATTTAATGGTAGGATTATTATCTAGGCAACGCTATAGTTAGACTTTGTATTATATTTTAATTTTGAAGCAAGTTATGAGTATTTTAAAATTTTAAATTGTATGTACATTTTAAAATACTATAACTAGCTTTAAAATTATAATATAATAAATGGAGACAACAAGGTCACTGTAACTTCCTCTTGAACTACGATTTATTATTGTTTGGAAATGCAGCAGTTACCCTGGTGTAGATTAATTTATTGTACCTATATTATATCATTCAACTGAATTGTGAATTCTGATTCGTTAATTTATGTGGGTAAAAAAACCACAGTTTTTTAGTATTAAAACTAAACTATTAGGGATTTTCTTTCTTTTTTCACCTATTACTACGTGTACATCATAAAAGTAAATTCATAATTTTAAATAAAAGTTAGATTTCAGTATTGAAAAATACCATTTATAGATCACACAGTCATGATGGACTGAAACTTAATTGAGACTTGAGTTTGTCTAAATCTAAAATAATATTCTATCACATATTTCATTTAGATTACCCATTCATTATTATCAATAGTGAATCATATTTTATTAATAATTGCGTAGATGAGCACATCAAAATCATCAAATATATTATTTGATGACACAAAATTCAAAGATGATTTCGAATGGACGGAGTGCTTTCTGTACTTTGATAAAAACTATACGGTGGCTCTGCGACGGCGGATTGAAAGAAAAATAAAAAACAAAGTTGATTTTGAAAATAGTCAGATAATCATCACAATGAGCATAACCGGTAAAATACAATATAATCTATTTCAAAAAATGTTTAAAATATTAAAAAGTGCAGCAGACTATAAATGTTCGTCCCCAAGCTTCTATATAGTGTCATGTTTTCACTATAACTACAATAATATTAAGCAGTTTTTAAAATATAATAGATAAATACTTAGTTAAGACCTTTACTTAAAAAAAAAAAAATATGTAACCTGTAACCACTAAAGCCGGTCAGTACGCGTAGTGTAGTAAAATAATACGAGTATAATTGTATAGTACCTACCTATGTCAACCAAATTGTTTAAAAATTCATTTAACTATGGGACAAATTTGTCTTACGTTTTCTGGCTGTTTATAATTATATACATATACTACATGTCTACATAGGTGATACGGTGATAGTGTGATAGGTAGTTCATAATAATTCACCTTGGGGACAAAACTAAAATCAAATCCGTAAGGTTATAAAGTTGGCCTACTCAAAAATCATTATGTAAATAATTTTAAGTTATAATTTATAACTAATAACTTATAATGAGTAATCAATCGGGCCAGAACTTTCTTTTTAATAATAGTTAGAAAAATTAATTATTTGGATAAATGTTTACTGAAACTTAACAACTAACAATGCTAAAAACACTAAACAACTTTGAATATTTTATTATTTTTTCAATTACATGCATTTATTGTGAGTATAACGTATCGTACAAATAACGCATAGACTGATACTATTTTCATAAAAACTACCAAGCATATACGTACAGTTTGGAATATAATAAAATATGGTGAAAATAAGAAGACGAAACTGAAGATTTAAGTTTAAATGATTTAACACATCAAAAACAGTCCAACAACTTCAATTGATGAAGTTTTTCATCTTACAAAAATTTGATGACCTCGAATAGGTGTTTAGTTAAATTTGAAAAAATCAAAAAATTGTGAATTGTACAAGTACTTGAATGAAATTTCAAATTTAAAAACAATGTTTAAAAATATTTTAAAATTGGAGATTCAAAATTGTTATAACATAATTGTATAGTTTTTTTAGAACCTATACAAGAAGACTTTTAACCCAATTAATGTACACAGATTTCATAAATTAACAAATTTTTTTAATTAATGCATTTTCATTTATTAAACTTTAGTCTTTATTGCCAATTTATATGGTACCTACTACCTAATATTATGATGTGGAGGTACCTACCTATTTAACATTATTTTGATCATTATCCATGTAATAAGTCCTACGACCCTAGTAATCGTAATAATTAATGTCTAATAAGTAGAATAACATAGTTACATAATTACATATTATGCACTACAATGTGTATATAATGTATATTATATAGACGGGCGAAAAGCTTGTGTCGTAAAATATCAAATAACGGAACTCTATAAACAATTTCTATCAGACTACGCGCACAACATGATGACGGAATACGTTACGAACATCAATGATGATTCTATAAAAGTGAGATTACTGACTTGTGTCTTGTATTTGGTTGTATTTTGTTTATAAATTTATAATTTTTATTTTATCTATAGTTTTCAGAGAACATTGAGGTGACGTACAACACTGACAACGAATATCCTATTTACGGACGATTCGTAAATTCGGGGTTGATTGTCATGTAAGTGTAACCTAAACTTATCTACATGGGAGGCGTGAGCAGAGGGGTGGCTCTTGTGCTTGGCCATACCCTGCCATTTTGAAATTGGGACCCTAAAAGTCAAACTCCTTGCCACTGAGTCAGGGGGGCTTAGATTTTATCTGTTGTTTCTAAATAAAAAAATGAACAATGAAATGTATTATTTCATGTTGTTATATCATATTATATTACTAGTGCAACATTATAGTACAGCATTTTACATTTACGTGTCAACCAAATCTTTAGCAATAGGAGATTTACCAAGACCCCAAACTGTTTTTGCAGTTATTAATTCTACTAGCTATTTAGTACCTCACCAAAATATTTTGTGTGCCATTATATATTTTTATATTGTATAAATGTCATTGTTGTTAAATATATTAAAAGTTTAAGTAGTATATACATATTACACCATAAAATAAATTAATACCTACACAGTCATACATAATAATTTATTTAAGTCCTAGTCTTGGTAGGGGTGCCTAAAAATGCTGTAAGCACCACCTGAAAATTTGGGCCTGCACATGCCTATACGGCTATACGTAGCTACTTATGCTTGTACCTATTTCACATGAATTGCAGAAATGACAGAATTACATCTCGAAATGGCTTATTAACCTCGGTATCTGGACATGTAGGTAAAGTTTTCCCGTAGGAAAACAGCAAGGTAGGTTACACAACTTACATACATATAAGACAGGAGGTATTCACAGACATTTAACTCTCTCTCTTCTATTTCGCCGAGATACCGAGATCCACGCTGTACGTAAGTATACCGCATGCGTACATTTACTGTTGATACATGGTATACAATATATGTACCTACTACCTACATATTAATTATGATACCTAGGTACCTGTAGTGTTCGAAATGGTGTCATTAATTCGTATTCTTTAAGACAAATGATGCTACCCCACTCTCATAATATAATAATATTATGTCTGTGCATATTGTAATATTAGTTTGGCGTTCTTTTTTCACGGAGCAATCACCGTTCGGCTACAACAGGTGGCAGGCAAAGACTGTTATTACGACAGTAGGAAGTCATATCTGGCATGTCTTGCCATCCAGATACCGATCGCTGTTGTCTGGAACGCGTTTATGGTCGTACACGTGCACTTCCTATACGATATTATCAGCCCGGATCTCTACTACGTGTTCTTGAGTTTGTTGCTCGAGAGCGTCTGCGGAATACACTTAGGTACCTAATTAGATTAGAACTCACTACTTGTAAGTATAATACTTAAAAGTTGCTAAAACGTTCGATCTAATCGATTTAAGCCATGAAAATATATAATGTTTAACAGACCAACTTTGGTTTTCAATACAACAATGATTCTTGAACAAACCCAAACTATAACTAACCACATTAGGTCATAGATCAATATTTATGTTTTGATCATTGCGTAAATGTGAAATCGCAGCATATGACATTTTGGCAGCAAGAATAAATTAAATTTGTAATGTTTTTTTATTTTAATTGATTGAAAACTAGTGTAGAATTGACCTCTCTGTATATAAGTGTATAGAAATTTCCCATGTCACTCAATACAAATGTTTTATACTATAATAATATTATAAAATTTAGTTTGTTGCTCATGGTTATTTTATCGTTCATTCACTTCAGCAAGTTCAGTCTATTCAGTTTGTAATCAATATTTTATCCAGTTTACTTATTATATACAACAATTATTTGTTTTGATTCCCATGAATGCATAATATATATTAGAAGTTATAACATCTTAAACATATAGATATGTTGAAAACTAAAAATGTTTCATACATAAATGCGTATATTTAATTAAAAATATAAAAACAAAGTAATATTCTTATGTTAATTTTTTATAGGATATATCTTATGTTCAATTGTACAAAATCCTTTCAGTGTTACAATAATACTGTACTTAAAATTCACAATATGCGTCTACGTCTCAGGTTGAATTTCTACATTATTATGATTAATAACTATAACAATTTTATAAATCTTAATATTGTTTTTTTTTTTTTTTTGTAGGACTTTGGTGGCCCACGTGTAAATTATTTGGTTGGGAATATACGATAAATCACTATTTTCCAATTTCAGAAGGCATTTGTTTTGTCAGATATTTGATTGAAAAACAGACTTTTGCCACAAAACCATTAATTATTTTAATTATTTGGTCTGTAATACTTGTGGCAATCACAATAGTTAATTTAGCCAATAATAAAAATGAAAAGAGGTATAATAAATTCAAAAATCTATTATAAATATTAATATTTATGGTTTATTATTTACAAATAATATTAATTTTTATTGACACACATAACTAATTTGTGTAAAAAAGAAGATATATATAAATGTAAAAAAAAAAATTACTCGTTTTCTTGCTTTTTACGCAATATAACAAATCCTTCCATGACAGGTGTGAGACATTTGTATTCATCAGTAGCGAGTTCTGCCCTTTCGCCTACTGCCAATAGAACTGGTGTCGTATGGGTATGTACTCCAGCTATTGTTTTAGGGGTACCGGCTTTTCCAATGACATCAACAGCCTACAAAACACAACAATTATTTAATAAAATATTTCCCATTGTTATTCTATTATTTGTCCATTGTTAACTATGAATAGCCCGGGACCCTAAGTCATAAAAAATATATACCCATGAACAAGTTTGAGACACTATATCTTAAAATGTCCATGTCAATATATTTTTACCTAGGAAGGAGTGCACACATTAAACAGTTTAGGATAAAACACAGCTATACTAAAATGTAAAAAAAACTTACTTGACCAACTCGAACTGATACAGGGAGTGGCTCAAGGTCTTCATCTAAAGTCACCAGCCACCTTGGGTACATGGCAACCACCAAAGTGTAAAGCAGGTAATGAGACTTACCTAAGATAACTAAAGGACAAAAAATATTTTAATAATATATATATATTTTTTTTAATCATTATTCAATTTAGCTTTAATATTTGAAAAATATTACAATAGTATGTAATTTGAAGTATGGACTTACTGTTACGAGTGTCCAAGAAGCTAAATAGTGTAATGAGAAGACCCGATACAGCCACAGGGTTCATTACTTGTCTGTCAGTATGGAACGGTGACAATGATAGTGTACCTTTACCCATGTGTGTCAAACCCTGGGCAATGCGCACCATGAACAAATGACCAGTGTTCTTAGCATGGTATTGAGCTAACTGACGCAACATAGTAGCTAACCTACACAATTAAGAATTCATCATTATTTGAAAAAATCCAACAGTTCACAATTACTAAAAAAAAATAAGTTTAAAAACTGTAAAATTAACAAATCAAAATATTTAAAATTTAAAATTATAAGCACAAAACTAGCTTTAATGTGAATGAATAAAATTAATACTTTGTTTATCAACTATAAAATGCATTACTCTATTCCAAATAAGTTTGGAAAAACTGCACAGCATCACAACGGTAATACTACTGTGATTGGTTAGTAGTCGGCAGCATACTAACAGGCCAATAAGACTGCACTCAAGACACATTTCTGTACGAGTATTTCCTAACTTATTTAGCATAGAGTATAGTAAACAAAGAGTGAAAAGTATATAACTAACATAAATAGGTTAAAAAAAAATTGATAGTTGACAGATTTAAAACTGTAATTTAAAGCAGAAATTTATATAATTCTAAGACCAATAAAAAAAAAAATGGTTAAGATAAGATATTATAAAATAAAATAATATTTTAGAGGGTTACATATTGGTTTTATATTTTATTATTACTTGACTTTATACCCTACTTCAAATAAAAAAATTTTTTTTGCAAATGGTTATTAAGTTGTTTAAAAACAACTTATCGAATAATATAAACCAAAGATTACACCATCAGGCTGCTATTTTGCCCCTACTAAATTTTATTTTATTTTAATTACCTAGCGTTATTGGTGCCCGCTCCAACCAAACCCATTGAAAATATAGCATTATGTGCTACTTCTTCATCTAAATCATGCGAGTATTTATTTAGCACATCAATGATATTCATTTGAGGGTTTGATATAGACAACAATGCGATTGCTAATGGAACGGCTCTTCTGACAGGTGGTTCGCCATACCTCCCCTAAAAATAATCAAATAATATTTAAATACAGTTCAACAATTTCAAATAGTAAATAGACATGACTCACTAGTTGTCCGAAAATTCGAGTACACATTTCTGATCCAGTATCTTCTCCCATAGCCACAACAGCTACAGCTAAAGCTGCAACAGCTTGCATGGTTGAAAGGTCTTTACTAGCAGTCTCTTTATTTTTTTCTTTCTCCTTTTCTTTTTCAGCAGACGTAGTTGTTTCTTTTTTGTCACTTTCCTTATCTTTTTTGTCACTTTGTTTTTTAGAAACTTCTTCTTTCTAAAAAACAAATTACATCATTATTTATTATTCACAGATTTATATGATAAATAATAAATAATTATTAGATTAACAATTACTGGAGCTGGAGTATAATGTTCACTACATATGTGCAATAATTCTTGAATAGTCAGTACATCGCCAGAGCCAGCACAAGCACACATTTTGACTGTCATTTTTGCCATAGACTTAAATGGATCGGCTAATACATTTAAATCTCCATCAAGTGCATCAGCTTTGTCCTTGAGACCTTAAGTTGTAAAAATTACATAGCTTAATGTTCTTTAGGTGTGAACTAAATTTTATTCAATAAGCCATACCAAGATAACATAATCCAAGGGCAAGAGGTAAAAATCTTGAATAATGGCCATCTTGTAGTTCTGTTGAAGGTAAATCCACCAAGGTTTGTAAGATTGTGGATATAACATCTTGGTTAGCAGCACCTACACTGATCATCCCACAAGAAAGAGCAGCCAATGCAACAACTTCTGGTGTAGATTTATTATTAGACATTACTGGCAACAATAATGTTATAACGTCTTGTCGTCTTGTACCAGCATAGGCGAGTCCCAAACCTAAGCAAATTATATGATATATACTTGAATTTATTACATTTATAAAATTAGAAAAGTTACCTAAGACAGCACCAATTCTAAGTAAAACACTTTCGTGTAAGACATAATCGGATAAAAGTGAATAAGCTGGATCGCATTCATTGCGTACTCCAACATTTACGATTCCCAAAGCAAGGAGAGCACCAGCCTAAACATTAGAAATTGGTGGTTATAAAAGAAAAATGATTAATTTATAACAAGATATAAAACTCAATATTTACTTCAAGATATAAAACTCAATATTTACTTTAATATATTCTTCGGATGTATAAAGATACTTGTCAATTGGAGTTAACCCACCATGGACATCCCATAAATGAATAAGTCCAAGGGAAGCAGCAGCACTCAACATTCCTGTAAAAGTCGTTGAGTGAACATAGTAATTTCAAATTACATTTTCATGAACAGTTTATTAATGTAGAAAATACCAGAAATATTTACCATGTTGTTTATTTTTATACATCCATTTGTTGCCATCTTCAACTGACACCAATTTGTCTCGGGAAAATCCGGCATTGACAAAAGCGTTAACAAAAGTTGATGCTAGATTATGTCGCGCAGAGTCTACAGGCACATCTAAATTGTATGATGGACGTAATACTAAACCTTCCAACCAAGTCTTATACACATCATCTGGTGTTTTCGGTTCCAATATATCCAACTACAATATTCATATAAACAGCATAAATAAAAACATTCATAGCAAAGAACATTCCAAACTAAAAATGTTAACTTCAAAAACTTACTTCTCTTGCCAAGCTATTAAAATGTTCGTTGATGTGAGAATTAGACATAATATTAGTAAGATCTGCTTTATCTTTAGGCTCATCATTTAATTCCAAACCAACATACTGTCGTCCAAGCATATATGCTAATTGCTTCCTTACAACTCTGTTCAGCAACAAAAGTAAGGAACATCATTAACATATACCAAATTATTCAAAATAGTTACAAAGCCATTATCACAGCTACAAGAATACCAAGTACTTGAAAACAATTGCTGGAAAAGTCACCCTTAATAAAATCATATATGTACATTTGATAATAATTTGTTGAATTTAATTTTTTAACTAATAGTATACTACCCAAATGTAAAAGTACAAGTATATTTTTTTTTATATGATTTTAGTAACAGGGACTTTTTTCCGTTTACCTTAAAAACAGTGTATATTTTGCAGCAAAATCGAATGTTTTAGATGTACATAAAATATATAAATATGAACAGGTGTCAATTTAGTACTTAGATAATTATTATTTATAAAATAATGTTATATATACCGAGTGATTACTGTTTTCTAGACATGCTGGAAAAATCAGGTGTTGTATGTACACACAAAATCAGGATCATAGAAAATTCTAGACCACTAATAAAGTTGAATAAATAAACAATTTAAAACGATAACTAAAAGTGAAAATTAATGTGAATGTTTAGTAATGTTTTTTGACATTGTACCCACTCAGATTAAATCTACTTAAAAATGTTTTCTAGTATTCTGTGATTTGTGATAACCCACTAGTACCAAAACATTATTTAATAGTATATTGATATAAGAAAACGTACGGATCCTGGCAAGCAACAAATATTTTTGTCATTGTATCTGTATCATTAACAGACATAGCCAAACATAATGCTCTCGGATATTCTTCAAAATTCATATAATGCTTCATTACTTCATTATAAATATTGGTTCGTTCAGGTTCAACAGCATAAATTGAACAACTGAAAAAATTAACAAAAAATGTAATTTTATTAACTATTTAAATTCAATGACAACCATAATTTATTTATATTATTTATTTGTAAGTGTTCTACAGTATATTTAGGTATTATTTATAAATTTATTTAAAGTATTATAATGAAAAAACTTACTTTATTAAATACAGGCAAACTTTTAGGTAATTTGATTTATCTACTTGTAAGAGATCCAATCTGTCAATTTCCATCAATAAATCACAAGCTTGAATTTCAGCATTGTGTTTCATATCAAAAGCCACAATATTTTTAATCAATGAAAGCAATTTATTTCGATTTTCTTGATCGCTATTCCATTCTTCTGCTATCTCAGCCTCCAATTGTCTAATTTACATTAAAATAAAACACAATTAAAAAAATCTTATCAAATAAAAATTAAATCAAGAGTCCTTATTCATAATAATCATTATCATACTAATGATAAAATTATTTACTTACCTAACATATTCATGACCCCAGTCGCCAACATCTACATCTCCGGCTCTCAAGCAATAACGTAATGTATCTCTTAGGTTTCTATCCTGTCCCATAGCTAATATAGACACAACTGAACAAAGTAAAGCCTTTGTCTTCTCATCAGCGTCAATGGTATCACATCGTTCCTTTAAACGCG